CAACTATTTATTTTAAAAAAATTATAAATATTAGTCAAATTTTAATAGTTTTAACAAAATAATGAGTTACCATAATTATGCATCTGGTGTAGGAATAAATTATAATAATTTTCAGCATTTTTTTAATCTCTTAAGTAGTAGTATTATTTCTATCTCGTTATAACTAATATATACTTTTGGCAATCTTACAAAACAATAATAATTGATATTCACTCTTAAATTCTAATATTAGTTATTTTTTTTACATTATATAATGGTTAAATGCTAAATTTGGTCCCTTAACTTTATGAAATGTACATTTTTGGTCTCTCAACAAATTTTTGCACTTTTTTGATCCCTCAACTATATGAAATGCACTCCGTTAGTCATTCTGTTAATTTGGGCCGTTAACTTTGTGTATGTGGCATTTTTTATATTTTTTTTGATGATGTGGAAAGCAAAATTTAAAAAAGTGATGATATGCACAAAACTTTTGCCATATCATGCTATCGTGTGGTCAAAACGCACCAAATCCATCCAAATGAGTCCTACATCACTACTAAGAGTTGCTTCTTTTGCGCATCGGTTATTGTTTTGTTTTTTCCATCGTCGATGTTCTTTCCATTTTTAAAATTGAAATCATTTAAACAATACTTAAAAAATATGAAAAAAAGAATCCCAAAAATTGCTCACAACAAGCTGCAATTTGGATAATCTCTTGACAAACAAACATATAATAAAAAAAAAAAGTAGAGTTGAGTTCGACAGAACCCGCAGATATGGGTTTGATGTAACCCAGCAAATAGATTCCACCGAACCCAACTCAATTCGTTGGAACCCAGGCGAGGTTTTGTCGAACCCAGTGGGTTCGATGACCTAAGGAAGAAGAGGAAGAAAGGAGAGGAAGAAAAAAAAAAAAGAAAAAGAGAAAGGAAGAAGATGAAAGGAATTATTTTTATTTTATTTTATTTTTTAAAATATAAATAGTAATCACGTGAGTTGGCATGAAAGAAAATTTCATGTTAATACGTTTTCAATTTGTTTTTGCCACGTCATAAAAAAAACTATAAAAAATGTCACATGAGCGAGTTAACAATCTAAATTAACAGAATGATTAATGGAGTGCATTTTTTAAAGTTTAAGGATAAAAAAAGTGCAAAAAATTATTAAGGGACAAAAAATGTGCAACTCACTAAAGTTAAGGGACCAAATTTAGCATTTAACCTTATATAATTAACTCTTTAGTATTATAAAGATTTAAACATTTGACATTAATTTTATATTAAAAATTTTTAATTAATAAATGTCAATTCAATCAAATTTTTATTAATATATGATTTTTTTATATGTCTCGTAGAATATTACTACATATCACAATTAAACTCATATTATTAAAATTGAAATAAAATATTATTTGCATGCTTTTTCTTTTATTAATACTTATGGTAGGAAGGCCCCATTCTAGTGTAACGACATTGGATCCTGAATTAAGGTTGTTCACCTTTGTAGGTTGTATGTTTGAATTTTATGAAATTTATTTTCTCATTTTCTAATTAATATGTAAATAATTGTAATTTATTAAAAAAAAAATACTCATGATAAGAAAGGAGGCCACCAGCAAAGCAAATCCTTGGTTGTGTTATGTGAGTAAACAAAGAGCCAGGTCTGACACTTGGATCTTGAAGATTTCGAAAGATGAAACCATTTGAGCCAGGCCCAACTAGGAAAACGTGTATGATCATCCAAATCCATGGTTGTGTAAGAAACAAATTATAACCAGGTTCAAAGCCCCAAATCTGATACTTCAACAGGTTCACATCTAAAGGAAAGTGGCTGGGAAATCTGCTCCTAATTGATTGTTGCAGCGAAAAAAGACGTAGTGGTTAGTTATGGCCGCACAGTTTACCTGTTTTTATCATTTTATAATTTTTTTTTTTCAGCAATTAAGGTATTCTCGTATTGACTTATGATTATTTCAAAATTGATTTCTCTTTAATTCGGTTAAAAGTATCAATGATTTAAATAGTTCCTTAGTTAAAAATATCAACGATTTAAGTAATTCATTAGTTATCTTTTTTTGTTGAAAGTAAGATATCTTGAATTTGAATTGTATAACATATAAGTGAGATGAAATAAAAAATAAAAAATGATTATCTTTCGTTATGAGAACCAAGACAAAAAAAAAAAGTATGACTAAAAGTAAATTATTTACGTCATGATTAGAAATTTTAAAAAAAAATTACCTTTTTTATTAACCTTTATAAGGAATTGAATTTGCCAATTAAGTCACAATTTCTTAAGTTATAATTTTTTTTGTTTAATGTTTAATTATGTTATTTAAAAACATTTATTTATAAAATAATTTTAATTTATTAAATAAAAAATATTAATTATTTTATTAATTAATAATTAATAATTATTTTTAATAATTAAATTAAGATAAAAAAATAAAACATATTTAGTCATAACAAATCGTCATGCGATCATAACCATTGCCAAAAAAAGACTGCCCCATTTTTCTGCTAAAAGAATCAATAAGTAAAGAAAGTTATAACGAAATTATAAAATTATTAACAAATTTTAATAAATTGTTTTATGATGTTTTTTTAATTAAAATTTAAAAAATTCAAAAATTAAATTACAATTCTATTATTCAGCCTGCTCTAAAAAATACGAAATTCAAGATAAAATATATGTGTAGTGTACGTACTTAGATAGTTGGATGGATAAAGATGTTGAGTGCTGGGGGGAAAAGGACTAACCCCATTGCAAGCGCCTGAAGATCTCTTTGCTAGTTGCTACCTATCTTTGCTTGCAAAAGGAATTTTAGTGTCTTGTAATGGCGCCATCGAAAGCACAAGGAAGGCTAGGTCTCAACAATTTGCATTTTTAACATGGGAAAAATTGGTAAAATACTCAAATTCACCCCCAAAATATAGTAACAGAGATAAATCCACCTTTAAACAAAAAATGGGGATAAATCCACTTACAAAATTTTTGACTTGGATAAATTATCTTAAATTTAACGTGTGACATTATCTAACATCAACAATTTGTTAATTCGTTTAATGGATTGCTGATGTTAGATGGCGTCAAATTAACATATTTCTAATGTTAGATAACGTTACGTAAAATTTATGGTGATTTGTTCAAATCGAAAACTTTGTGGGTGGATTTGTCCTTATTTTTTGTTCAAGGGTGAATCCATTCCTATAGCTATATTTTGGGGGTAGATTTGGGTATTTTGCTGGAAAAATTTAAGAGAAATGGGAAGTTATAATCACAATAGGGAGTACCATAATTTTCAAGGTCGCAATAATATTTTATGTTTAAAAAAGGTTTAAGGCGTCAATTATTTAAATAGTTCAGTAGTTATCTCTTTCTGTTGGAAGTAAGAGGTTTTAAGTTCGAGTCGCATAGCATGCGGGTGAAGTGACATAAGGGATGAGAAATAGTTGTCTTTTATTGTATAACTAAGATAAAACAAAAAAAAAAAAGTTTAAGGCTTGTCAAGGAACTCTAATTAATGATAAGTTGATAACCTCCAAAACCAAAAGTATCATGAAATTTGTTTCACTTGTAAAATTTTTCTTAGAATCATTTTATTAGTTAAACACAACTTTAGTAGTAGTTCTGTCCAAAAAAATATTATGATTTCAATCCCATTGAACGTAAGGAAATGGGTATGGTACACCCACCATTGAAGGGAATAAACTATGGTTACTTCCAAATTACAATGGAAAAGCATGAACACTGATTAAACGTCAATCACTGTTTGATTTTAAAAACTCCGGTGCAAAGTTGGGAAGCAGCATCAAACTTAAGGCGTTTAAAAAAAAAAAAAAGAACTAATTTTAGATTATTAATGCAGTAGAAAAGTAAAAATCAATACATCTCAATATTAAAAAATGTCAGAATGTCTCCACCGCTGTGAACTCCACCAATTTGCGATCTAATGGTCGCGCGTCTCAAATGAGGAGTGGAACGTTCACTTTCTTAGAAAAATTTCAGTTGCTAACAAACTAACTCTACTAACTTCCTAACCATCTATCTGGTAAAAAAAAAAATGATATTTTTTAATGTCAGTATGTCTTTATATATATATAAAGTATTTGTTTCTGTTGGGGAAGAAAAAAAAGGTTGGGAATCAAGGATGAGGAGTAAAGTTAAAGGTGCTAAACTTCAGCGCACATTACTTTGCCAAGTTGTGACTAAAAACTTGTATAAATTGAGACCTCTCAAACACTTTTACACCAGATTAACACCACCAAATGGCTAGTGTTATGGAGCGGAGCTTCTATTTTCTCTTCTTCCTCCTCCTCATCGTGGCGGTGGTTGAAGCGAAGGCAAGAAGTCCTTCTCCTAAGCCCAAGAAAGTGACGTGCGAAGACAAGTACTCCAGGTGCTACTACAAGAGCTTCTACTGCCCAGCTTCCTGTCCCCAGGCTTGTGTCGTGAATTGCACTAAGTGCCAACCTGTTTGCCTTGCTACGCCTCCGCCACCACCACCGCCGCCACCATACCATGAGCCAACGAAAGTGAAGTGCAAAGACAAGAAGTACCCAAGTTGTTACTACAAGAACCTCTTCTGCCCAGCTTCTTGTCCCCGCACTTGTGTTGTGGATTGCGCCAAATGCCAACCTGTTTGCCCCGCTACGCCTCCTCCCCTTCCGTCCTCTCCACCACCAACTCTTCCCCCACCACCGCCACCACCACCACCAGCTCTTACCCCACCACCACCACCACCACCACCAGCTCTTACCCCACCACCACCACCACCACCTTCCGGGTCAGATTCTCCACCAAAGACAGCTAAATGCAAGAACAGGAATTTCCCTGTGTGTTATGGAATGGAGCTAACCTGCCCTAGCGGTTGTCCCGATCATTGCGAGGTAGATTGTGTCACATGTAAACCTGTCTGCGGTAAGTAAAATTTTCTCATTCTCTCCGTCTCCATTAATATTTTCAAGAAAATGTCAGTAACATAAATTTTGTATAAACCAGACTGCAATAAGCCAGGGGCTGTTTGTCAAGATCCTCGATTCATTGGAGCAGATGGGATCACCTTCTACTTCCATGGTAAGAAAGACAGAGACTTCTGTCTGGTTTCCGACTCCAACCTCCACATCAATGCCCACTTCATCGGTCGCCGGAACGAAAACATGAAGAGGGATTTCACTTGGGTCCAATCTCTAGGTATCCTCTTCGACAACCACAAACTCTACATAGGAGCCCAAAAGACAGCAACTTGGGACGACGCCGTCGACCGCCTTGCCCTTGTCTTCGACGACCAACCCATTATGCTTCCTGACGGTGAAGGTTCCAAGTGGCAACCAATCGAAGCACAGGGTACTAGCATCACCAGGATCCGCGACACTAATACCGTCGAAATCGAAGTTGAGGGCAATTTCAAGATCAGGGCAACAGTGGTTCCGATCACGAAGAAAGATTCAAGGATTCACAATTATGGTATCGACCAGGATGATTGCTTCGCCCACCTGGATTTGAGCTTCAAATTCTATGGATTGAGCGAGGATGTCAATGGTGTTCTGGGCCAAACTTATGCTAGCAATTACGTGAGCAGAGTGAAAATGGGTGTCGTGATGCCTGTTTTGGGTGGGGAGGAGAAGTTTTCTTCTTCAACCTTATTTGCCACTGACTGCACCGTCGCTCGATTCACCGGTGAAGTTGCCGGGTCGGAGAATTTCGAGTACGCTAAGTTGGACTGTGGCGGTGGAATGGACGGCCGTGGAGTTGTTTGCAAGAGGTGAAGTGATTTGCACCATAAAACCAGAGTGTAATCTCATGAAATAAAATTCTGTAACAAAATGTCGGATTCCAATGACGGAATCACGACTACATTATCAAATTTATTATTATGTTTGTATGCTGTTTACCAAAATGAATAATGAAATTAATTGAAGGGGCGTTATTGTCACATTTTAAAAAATCTTATTTTTAAAATATAAATTAAAATATTTTTTATAGTATTTTATTGAAATAATAAAGTTTTAAATTAATTTTTTTTGTTTTTTAATTTTTAAAAGATAAAGTAGATAAATATTAATTTTTTTAAATATTTATTATATCATTTAATTTATTAAGAAACAAAAAATATAAAATTTTTCTAAAAAATCTAATGTAAAGATATAATATAAGTAACTAAAAGGGTGACAATAATATTATCCAATTAATTATCTTTTAAATTGAATTAAAATCAAGATTTTAATGCTTTAGAATTAAGTCAACCACTTAAATAGTTGAATAGTCATTTCTTTCCATTTGAAGTAAAAAATCCTAAATTTGAGTAGTATAACATACGGATGAGGTGGGATAAGGGATGAAAAATAATTACCTTCCATTATATAATTAAAATAAAAAAAAATTCTTCAAATTTGAGTGATCGATAGTAATCTCAATAATGATAAAAAAATTTTAATTTGAGGCATATGATATAAAACTATGATATAAAATTAAAGTAAGTTAAAAGAATGAAAAAGAATTGCTACCTTCATAGACAGATATTTTAGCACGAGTTGTTGCCCTGTGACTCGTGGATGGTGGGCTGGTGGTGGATCAATTTTTTGGTTTTGTGGTGACCAACTTAACAGGCGTTTCGTTCATAAAGGGCTAAATTTAATTTTTCATCTACCAACTATTACTCTTTTTTCATTTTAGTTCAGAAAGTTTAGTTTCTTTTAAAATTATCTATAAACTTTGAAAATTTTTTCAAATTCATCTACCTAAAAAACTGCCGTTAGCTTTTTTAAAGGAATCCCAAGACATGCTTACGTGGCACCAATTATGTGGCACATATAGTTCTGAAAAATTACACTTTAACTTCAAAAACTTCACAAAATTTTTAATTAAGTTTTATATTCAAATCACTCTATTTTCTCAATGAAATTTTTTTCTTTATTTTTTTATTTTTAATTTTTGAATAAATTTAAATGTTTTAATTTTGATTAACAACTAAAAAATTCATCATTGTTAATATTAGGATAAAATTATATCATTTCTTTTTTTATTTAGTTCAAAAAATTAATTTTATTTGTATTATCTCTTTCTCAAAATAACTTTTGTT